TAGCCCCCATACCTTAAGGTAAGACGTATTCTACGTCAAAAAACAAAAACAGGGGCTAATTTTGGTTTGGTGCTCTCACATCGCTCTTTACGCAAGACCGTCCGATATCCTCAGAATACAATATATTTTATGTAGCAATCGCAATTTGAATATTTAAAAATTTTTTTTATCTATTTTTTTTGGCAGAACTGACGTAGACTTAAAGCATAAACAGACGGCAGCGTTGATCCGGATCAACTCGGCAATTAACTTCAGTTGATCCGGATTAAGTCCGAGTTAATCCGGATCAACGCTGCCATCTGTTTAAGCTCTAAGCAAGCTCACCTTCGAAAATTTCTGGGGTTATTATATACAATACATGCAAGCAATTTTTTTTATTTTTGTCAGTTAACTCCGTGTTATTATGATAATCTGCTGTTCAGCAAGTGGGCCTTATTGACCTTACCCAGCAACAAAGGCTTCACGCTTTCGTTATCAATCAAAATTAGGCTTGTATAATGTTCATAGAAATATTAGAAAATATTTATATTTGTGACTGCTGGGACATCTCCTTATGACTGGTGTAAAGTAATTATGCATGAAGTAAAAGTTTCCATAGACAAAAATTACAGCTACTTTTTAATCGACTTCACAAAAAGGAGGAAGGTTATCAATTCGTCGGAATATTTTTTTTATTTTTTTTTATGTATGTAACCGCATAATTTTGGACCACGTTAACTGGTTTCTATAATTCTGAATTTTTTGAAGGAAAGGTGTTACCTCACAGGTGGTCCCATTCCAATTTGGTTTAAATTCAATTATTCGATCATGAAGAGATTAACGATAATCTTAAATTTTTATATAAGAATTGCAGTCGGTTTTGTTTTTTGCTTAGAAATAACTTTGTTAGTTTTTCAACAAAGTCCAACGTCAAATCAAAATGTCACGCAGAACAAAAATTGGAAATTGGGGTAGCCTCCTCATACGCACACCGTTTTCCTTTTTACATGGAATGACCCGAGAGTTTCTTGGAATAATTTTTTTGTGTTCCTTTTAGTTTGTATTTCTTTTTTGAAATCCCCACGTCCCATTGGGTCTTAAAGAGCTCAATTGTTCGCTGCCAAAAGCCTCTTGCCTATTCCTTACAAAAGCCGATTTAAGAGTAAAAACTGTTTCGGCGTCATAAATGGGCTACAAAACTGCATGCCAAGTTTTTTACTAAATATTCTGAATAAAAAGTGGTAAAAGTTTGCAGTATTTTTTAAATTTTTTTATTGCACAAAGTGTGGAATTCGAGTAATATGTATTTTGTTTGGACACTGCTAAGTAGTATTAAAATTTTTTGATATTACTTTATTAAATACAATTGGCGGGTAGAAAGCTCAATATATTAAAAAGTCGCTTTAAAAAAAAAAAAATAACTTAAAATCTATTTCTGCTTCGCTTCCAGGCAAAGAATGTCAATCGCCCACGCTATTACTCCTCGGAATTGGGCATACGCGAGAAAATCTTTATTGGCGTCATGACGTCACAAGACAACATAAATACACTAGCCACAGCGATTAATCGCACCACAGCGCATTTAGTGAATAAGATCAAATTTTTCATCAATGCCGACAATGTGAAAACGAACTATAAACTCAAGAATATTGTCGGTTTCACGGACACACGTGAAAGCTTACGTCCATTCCATGTGATAAAATACATTGCGGATAATTATCTTGATGACTACGATTATTTTTTGATTATGCCAGATACGGTCTACGTGGATGCACGTAAATTAAAAGCAATGCTATATCACATAAGCATTACATTCGATCTGTATATGGGCGCTAGACTGGAGCTAAGTAGTATCGCCCAAGACGGTGACGACAATGTTTATGCGGCTGCTGGTCGCGCCGCAAATTCCAATGGTGTTGATGATCTCGGTAGTCAAAGTGATCGTAATTACTGTGATTTAAATGCCGGCATATTGCTGAGTAGCAGTGTCATAAGGAAGATGCGCAACAATCTGGATTGGTGTGTACGAAATGGTGTCACAAATGTGCATAGCGTCAATATAGGACGGTGTGTAAAATATTCAAGCAATTTGTCGGGATGTCAAGCCAGTTTTCAGGTGAGTAGATACTTAATACATACTCAACTTGTATTTATGTATGCACTTTGATATATACTTACATATGTATGTAAATAAAGCCTTGAATATGTATGTACATAAATAATTGTGTGCCTAACTGGCATACTTTCGTCATCACATATGTCCATATAATCCGATATACATATATGTATGTGTGTACGGCACAATCTGTTGAATAATTTTTAAGAGCTGCAGTTAAAACAAATACATAAAATAAAGTCTCGGTATATACCTTGTCCATTTATGTATGTACGCATGTAAGATAAAAGGCACTAAACTTTTAATTGATATTTAAAATTTTGCGCGCAACACTTAAAAAACTTGTCATGACCTAAAATTTAAAAATAATTAAAGTATTCGAGTAGCGTATTTGCAGATTGGTAATCATTCTCCATTGCTATCAATCTAACCAAACACGGTGGCCAATGTACAATGGACAATGTGCTAATTATGATTGCAAAAATTCATTGAATGGCGTCATTTTGATAATAAAAATAAGTATTAAAAATGAAATGTGAATATTAATTTTTTGTTCATTAGTCAAATATGAATTTGAGAACGCACTCGTAAGAGGTTACTCATCCATACATCACTTTCAACAAGAAAGCAGTCGGCTTAAATCACTGAAAAAGTAGGCTATTTTTTAACAAGTCCACAACGTTTTCGCCTTTCAGTACAAAAAAAAAACACCGTTTAAGCTAAAAATCTGAAAATTAGTATACCGTCTAATTTTGGGTAGTTTTACCGTCAATCAGAATTCATTAGTTGAGCAGTTTTACCCCAGGTTTGCCAAATGGGAAGTACTATGTATTATACGGAGACTGATTTGCCTATTGTGAATGCCCTCTAGGATAGGGTATATATAGATCCCTCCTTAATCAAGGGCCCGTTCAGGTGCTTAGGTCAGTAGCACCCTACCAAAAACTGCTTGCTGAACATTCTGTTGTGCTCGCTAGCAGGGAGCATTTAAGCCTCGCTATGCAGATGATGTTCAGGTGACATCTGAGGGCATCCGAACTTAGTGAGCTCTAAAACCGAATAAGTCGGATAAGAAGCTCCCTCTGTTTCTGCCGTGNTGCAAATACATTAGAATTTACGAAAGGAATTTCACTACTAATTGCCTACTTTGCGTACTTTTCTACTACCATTTTCGAAACAAGGGATTGCATTCTTGCCCTTTCTCTGTCCTCCGTAAATGCAACCTTTTGTAAGGGAGTGTCAAACCGCAGCTGTCAATAATTATCTAACCTTGTATTATTGAATCATGCCGTGAGCTAAGACTCCATAAAGATTGGTTACCGCATCACGCACATGAATTGCTCTCGTAAAAGTCGAAATTGTCGTGCAACTGTAACTATATGTATACCCAGCAGAACGATCATATACCCCACATTGCACTCTTATCCTTAATTACATAAATACACCCACTTCTACAACATGTTCCTCTTCCTACACATCCACTTGAAATTATTCAATCAGAATATTTCAAATAATTTACAGAATAAGCAAAAACGAAATTGTCTGCGAGCATACATATGTATGTATGTATGTACATACAAAGGGAAGAACATAATCAATGAAGACATTGCCGGCGATTCTTTTGCCTTGGCAATTCACCTAAATATATAATTCATTAAACTACGTTAATCTAAAAAGCGTGATTTGTGT